GTTTTGTTTGTTTGTTTTCTTTTTGAGTTGATTTATTTCAATGGCAGGTTTTTTTTCAGGGACACAAAGTCCGAAATGCTTTGTTACAAATGGTCTGCTTCCTGTTTCCAGTGCAACCTACGGAAATACAGTTCGGAAAAATCTACCGTGTTTTGTCCAACAATATCTCGACAGCCAATTTCAAGATTCCAGCCTCACGTTTTATCAAATCTCTCATCCGCAGATCCGTCAAGGTGGGACGAGGTAGCGAGAGGGCTGAGTTTATGAAGCTTGATTTCAACAAACCACTGACCCCCAAATTCTTGGGATTTGGAACAAGCAAAAAGAACGTGGGCCTCTTCACCTTTGATGATATTGAGAATCAGCAGGGTAGGTTTAATACCTCTCATTATACTCGAGGACTAAAGAATGTGATTTCTCCATCATAACGTTGAGGTTTTGGGGCTTCCTCCAATCATTTTGCTTGTTTATTTTCAATCAGGAGATACATCAGCACCATGTAACCAGTAATTTTTCGTACTCAAACCGTCTGCACTATTTTAGCTTCAAAATAGCGCATTTTGAATTTGGACTTGTCTTGAAAAGATGGGAAAGTAGAGGAATATTGCATCAATTTTTCAAACTTCGGCAAGGAGATATAACTTCAAGTTTTTTAATGGTTTTGAATTAGTGTTCACTTAAAATGATTTTATACATATACGTGAGCTTTAAAACCACCAGTCGGGGGGATTACTTCTCTGACTAAAATGAAATACACTCCGAAATGTTCATGTCACCCCATGTATTGAATGCTATGTACCGATAGATTCGACGTAGAAATACGCAAATACATGCAAGTCACTGTGTAGGGTCCACTTTTTGGTCGGTTGGTATTTTATCAATCAATAAGACCAGCCACGTGGTAGGCTCTTATTGTATCGCGTTAACCATATCTCCGGTATTTACGAAAGAAAGTTAAAGTGATTTTTGCCCTCTGTCTTAGTTTGGGAGAAACATTTTGATATTTTCTTGGAGCCAAATGTCTGGTTGACACATAGTCGAAGAAATAGCTGTATTCTCAGTAAATTTTGTTTCGCTGCTTCAGTTGATCCGTGTCTGCGCTCCCCTTGCGTTCACGGAACCTGTCGCCCACTGTCCGATGGCTTCGAGTGTGACTGCTCAGATGGATATCGTGGACAATACTGCGAATTAAAACAAGGTATGTCTCCTCTGCCAGGGGCAACAGTGGCTAACTCAGACCAACCCTTAACCCTTTTAATGACCTGTTTCGTTGCCTTCAGTAAAAGAAACCACCATCCCCCTTCGGAGGGTGCATGGTGATATACAGGTGAAGGCGCTGAACACTCTCAGTTCCACACCGTCCTCCCGGGGCTTTTGAGATGGCTTCCCGCCCTCTAAACCCTTCGGCCATTTTTTTACGAATTGCTGTGGTAAAAACAGCTAAGAACTCTGTGACAAGAACAGCAACACTGTGAATTACACAAGTAAACTTCAAAATGCAATCAAAATGCATGAAGCTGGATTTCTGTTTGCGCCAGACATCTACCAACTTTGCGGCGCTAGAGATAACGACTTTCTTTTGGGCATTTGACATATGTTGATTACGCATCCCCGAGATACGATAATAAAGTTGAAATATATACTAAATCTTTAAAATTTCACTCACTGCACTTTCAAAACATTTGCCACCGTTTGAAAGCATCTTTTATTCAAATCCTTTGACAAAACTCTGAAACCGGTTCAACCTTTGTGCAAAAGTGAACACAAAGGCAACCTTGGTTGTGTCAGATCAAATATTCGTGCTGCAAATTGGCAAAAGTTTCACAAACTGTATCCCCAACGAATTTTGTGACGTCAAATCGTTTCGTTCGCTTTCGTTTACGCCGAAGTTTGGACAGGCCTTTGCTCCTAAGGAAAAAAAAACAATCATATTGCATGCACATTAAAGGAGGAACATACAGATATGTTTATGTCGCGACCATCGGATGACCACGGGGCAATGTTTTATGCACCACGTGTCAGGTAGGAAGATCCGTCAAATGATTAGTTACAGATAGCAAGGGCTGGGCAGGAAAATGGACAATTCAAACTTTGAGACAGGAGTCAGATATATCCCACCATTGGGGAAAATAATTAAAATAATTTAATTATTGATTTACTCTCAAAAACCTGAAGATTGACAGAGAAAAGAATGAATACTGAATCTGACAAACAGTCCCGCACTGTGAATAATGATAATGTGCAATGGCTTTCTCATTTTCAGTACTAGATGATTTATCAGAAACCCCTATGGATATCTTAATTTATACAGTATAATTTATTATAGTTCAATTACATGTAAGTTCTTAATCAGATTGACTCAGTTCGACTCATTTCAGTTCCGTTCAGTTCCCCAAACGCCAAGTTAAATCTCTTGGCCGATGTCAAGCACACCAAACACCCTAATGAAGCAATGTAACCAAGAGACCAACCAAGGGTTTAGTTCTACATAGATACTACAGAGTTACATGCATATCACGTGGGAATACAATATATTCGACCATGTGACTGAATATAAGAGTTTGCCGCGGATCCAGTCGACAAAATAGAATTTTATAACCAAAATATGCACACAAGATTCACGCAGAGACTGAAGTGGTATGCTGCGAGAATGTGAGGCCGTGATTAGTCAGGAACTGCCTTATTCAACTGTTAAAAGTATGCATTTTGTAACGAGGAAAATATCCACAACACTTACAGTTTGAAGACCGGTCTGGAAAGGGAAGAAACTGTACGTACGCACATCCAAGACGGCGCATCACAGATAGTATCGTGCGCGGCAACGGAAAGTGTAATTATAAAGTTTGGTTTCTCCACTGCCCTTAAAAACCACCAGATACATTCTCACAAAAACAGTTATCAATTATACAACCAGAAATGCAGTTTCTAGATCAAGGCCGATAACATATGATCACTTCTTTCTGAATACACTATGTTAATGACCAGAGGATGTTTACCAATGACGTAATCGTCTTGATTCAGTGATTAGGCATGTAACCCAAAAATAATCCCTGAAAAGCCAAACCTCGCTGGCCCTTGCATTTATAAAAACAAGAACAACGTATGAATGAAGAAGTAATTGACTAAAATCGTAATAAGCAATGGCTTGTCAATGGCTAATCACAAAACTACTCCGAAGCACTCAAAAGTAGGCCTAATTCCTTGAAATTACAAAGAGTCAAAAGTAATCACAAAACATAACACTCAATCAAAGAAAATACAATTAAACAGGTACTTCATGAACAATGTAAATATATGAATGAATACAAAATGTAGAGGCTTAATTATTGATGGAAAAACCTGGGCGGGTATAGTGATAAGCCACAATGTTGACATGGAATCGTGCTTTACTTAAGCAACTGGTTCTGGTTCAGAAATTATAGAAAGATTTTTAGCCTTATTACTCTTGCCTAGCTAGTTGTCAGTGTCACGTATCTTACTTTCCAATTTAGTAACAATTTTGAAGACATTTATTGAAAAGAAAAATGTTAAGTCCTATTCCTACTTTTGACAATCTTAAGAATGTGTGTCACTTTTCTGTGTTTCCATCTTTTCGGTTAATTTTGTTTCGTCCATTGTTGCATGTCCGCTGGTACGCTGCAGGCATTGTCCAAACGGCTTTAAGATAAACGAAAACGGATGCCAAACTTGCGAAAGCAAACGCAAGAAAAAGCAGTCAAGCCTGTCATTTCATGGACTTTTGGATCCTTTCTATGGGTGCGTTCGATTAGCTTACGCGTGGAAGTCAAACTTACACGGGAGCGTTCGTTTAGCCATCACGTGATGTTCGTGCCTGCCCTGGTGTCAGCCACCACTACCCCAGCTGGCAAACGGGTCTCTGGAGGCTGCCCGAGTGTAATGACGTCACGGATGGACTGTTCGAGCGTGGACGTACATGATGGAACGAGGCGGGGACTTGACCTTTTTCCCAGAATGCCTTTGAAAACACACTGTAGCGTTCGATAAGCCTCATTTTGAGGCTTCCTTGAGTGTATTGGTGTGTTCAGGGAAGCTAATCGAACGCACCCTATATTCCGCATCCGTTGGTCGCGTTGGGCGCATTTGGCCTACTTTGGTTGCGCATCCCTGGAATACAATCATAAACTGCAATTATTCACCTTCGTCTCAATTGCCACTTATTTAAATTATTTTACAGAGCCTGAAGTGATTTCTCTCCCCCCTGAGAAAGAAGGTGAGTAAAAAATGAACACTATGCATGTGTCGAGAGTTTAAGGCCTGCTCTTATAGAAAAAGTGTCGAAATATGGGGGATGCTGAGTTGTTCCCGTGGCAATTGAACAGTTCCCCAAATTTCAGTCTTTGGTGTTTAAAGTTCATAATCTTTTAATGTTTCATCCACTGCACTTTCAAAACGCACGAGGTAACATTTGCTACCGTTTGAAAGCATCTTTTATTCAAATCCTTTGACAAAGCTCTGAAACCAGTTCAACCTTTGTGCAAAAGTGAACACAAAGGCAACCTTTGCTGTGTAAGATCAATTACTCGTGCTGCAAATTTGGAAAGGTTTCATAAATTAAATCCCCAACGAATTTCGTGAAGTCACATTCGTTTTGCTTTCGTGTAAGTTTGAAGCGGCCTTTGCTGCTAAGAACATATTTTATACCTGAAAACTTGGGGGGGGGGTTGTTTGCATGAATACAGAAAATAACCCAAGTGGCACTGAGCCAGAAGGTAAGTGAACAAGAGACAAAATGAAATCACACATAATTATATTTAGTTGCAGGAAACTTACCATCAACTGTTTTATTCAAGCCCTATGGTACAGTGTCTGACAGAAACCAACATTGTTCGTAGCAACATTTATTTGTATCCAACCATAAACAAAACACAATCTATCTAGTATGCACAATAAAGGAGGATTATACAGATATGTTTATAAAACAGAAACAACCTATGAAGGAAGAAGTAATTGACTAAGGTCTTAATAAGCAAAGGCTTGTCAATGGCAGATGTCAAAACTACTCCGAATCACTCAGAAGTAATTCATTAAAATTAACAAGAATCTTAAGTTATCACAAAAACATAGCACTCAATCAAAGAAAATACAATTAAACATGTACATGTAATTCACATGGAAAGCAACCAGGGAATGGACAGTATAAATATATGATAAATACATGTACAGGCTGGATTATTGAGTGAAAAAAATGATGGGCATGTGACAAGCGATGATGTAGACATGGAATCGTACCTTATGTAATCATGGCGTTCTGGCTCAGAAATTATCAAAAAGATATTTGCCTTATTAGGATTGTTCAATACATAGATCAAGTCATGTATCTTAATTCAAAATTTAATGACAATTTTCAAGAGATGAGTATAAAAGAGGAATGGTAAGTCGCATTCCTAGTTTTATGATGTTGAGAATGTGTCCCTTTTCTGTTTGCCCTTCTTTGAACATTTTGTTTTATCCATAGTATCATGTTCGAAGGTGAGGTGCAGAAAAGCTTGCCCAAACGGCTTCGAAAAGGACGAACGAGGATGTATGACTTGCATATGCAAACGTAAGAAAAAATATGAAAGGCTTTTATTTCATGATGACAGTTTGATCCGTTCGAAATCCGAATCTGTCGGCCGCGTTTCAGTCCTGTGCTGTTTCAACTCTTTTCAATCGACGCATCGGACTTACGGCGCAATGAGAACAGGTTAAGAGGGCACATAACACGACTATTTGAAAACCCCGCAAAATTTCAGTCTGGTTGATCAGTGGATGACCAGACACGGGACGTGCCCGGTTGTTTGTCGTCTATCGATGACTCACCTTGTTACGTCATGGAATCGCCCGCTGAGCATACAATTCGGACATGTAGGCTAGGGTTGTACCACTTTTGTGTTGTAGGTACGTTTCATTTCATATTTTTCATTTTATTGGATACGTTCTTTGCAAAGACATGCGATGCACAAAAAATCACTAAATCATTTGAAACAAAATATAAAGGACACGTTATTTAACCAGCTCCTGCTGGATTGCACAAAAGAAATATAGTTTCTATCAAGGGATTCTCCTCAACTGGCAAAATAGGAAACAGGAATTCAAATTATTCTAAAAACCATAACTGCAAAAACACCTTTATATTTATCCTGGGTATGCATGTACATGTACACGTACCCAATTCTCACTGTATGTGTATCGTATTTGCATTCCCTAATTGTAATGTTTATCGTCAAATCTTTGTTTATTTACTTTTATGGAAACCGCCACCTCTGTTTGAAATGCTATACACACAAATACCAGTACATAAATCCTACAATAAAAAATCGTTTGATTTGCACGTTCCATGCCATCTTCGTATTGTAGGAATATAGTTCAAAAATAAAAATTATAGAGAAAAATAAAAAAATACTTAATTAATCACGAGTACGCACCTTACTTATTGGACACCAATACTAGGCATGGTACGGGCTGGCTCCTCAAATTGAGCTAAAGAGGCTGAATGTGAGCTAAATCCAGCGTTCTGATTGGTTGAGAGGCTACAATGATGACGTCATGTCGACCTTTCTGACCCTAGGTAGTCTGGTTCCCTGCCCAAAGTTTCCCTGACGACCCTTGGGATGATAAAGAATCTTGGATCAGCCATCACCCGCAGAAATAAATAGATATGACGCAAGGGTCAGAGATCACAAGTTGAAAGCCTGGATGTTTTCGATTTAATTCCCTTCATACGTGGTGGGTTCAAATCAGCCGGAAGTTCCCTAATGATGCGCACTTGAACAAATATCAGAAAACTCAAAATCATTCATAAGCATTTTCGAAATTCTTTTAGTTGATCATTTCTTGTACAGCAACATTCCTTCCTCGCACACACCCATCAACAAGTAAAGTTGTTTGTAACTTTGTTGTTAAATGCCAATGCATGATTGTTGACGGTTTATGTTCAACAAGCCCACCAACCAGACCGGGAATAACCGAACATCAACGGTACAATCCGAACATGCAGAATGTAGACGGGGCGACTCCGGAATATTTCGGCTATTTTCGGAAAACTGGAGGAATTCGTCCAGTCCTGGACACGTGACATTTGGTGATACCGGACCCTTGATTTGTCGGGACTGGTATCCGGGCTAGCCCTAGCCACTACTATGCCCTCACGAACGTCGTGTGCGCCGAAGTAAATCACATGTGCTTCAAATATATTTTGTTTGAAATATTCAGGCAGGTTGTGGGATTCTAGTGCGTTGTCAGAAAAATTGGCTTTGGCTGGCCACAAATTTGAGTGAATCACACAGAACAGATGTTAGTGGCCATAGAAGAATCCCATTATCGAAGGCAATGAAGTACAGTCCCGTCTTTTCGGATTGCAACTGAATAAGTGCAATTAGTAGGTGATCCACTGATAA